ACTTCGTCCCAAGTCGGCGCAAGAGGTGGATCGAGAAACTGGTGATTTCGGACCAGCGAGCGCGCGCATGATTTTCGCTCGGGATGAGGGGGGGAGGGGGGGAGGGGCTGCCTGGCATGGTCTGAACTCATATTTCGGATGGGCGACTGGACAGAATTACGCGCTATGTGCAATGCCCAAAAACGGGCTTTAAGGCCAAGGGGGGGGGGGGGAGGGGGCGGGGGGAGGTATGTCAGATTTCCTTTCCAGGGAGGAGAATATATGCGGCGCGGCGCATGCGGGGCAAATCACCTTGCCGAACTTGAAGTTGTCAACTCCATTGCTCGCGCAATCATCCCAGCCGCCCACGCGCAACTTGGCCTGCAGAACTCTGCGACGAGTGCTCGACGCTCACTGGCGCGTCGCCGCGGCCGGGCAAACGCGCGCAGGCTCGCGCGCAGAGCGACGATCTTGTCTGGCGCGGCCGACGCGGCCGCGGCGGCGCTAGCCGCCAAACACTTCCCAGCGTGTTGTCGCAGGCCGCGCTGACGCGCGATCAGTTCAGCTCGAGTCGGTGATTCGGGCGGGCTCGGTATCATGGCGACGTCGACAACGGCAGACACGAGGATGATAGTAGCGACGCTGGCGACGAGGATGACGATGACGACGACGACGACAAAGCCGATGAGAGCGCTGATGCTGAGCACCCCGACGACGATGATGGTTCCCCCGCGTCGGTGATGAAGATTTTGGCACGATTCCGACACGCGCGCGCGGACGACGGGCGCGATTTGCCCGCGCGTTGTTCTTTGACAGGGACCGTGCCCCCTCGAACACGCGCGCAAGGGCGTCCGAGTGATTTCGACACGCGCGTGCGAAAGGCCCGCTTGATTGTATGCGATGACGTGTTTCTAACCGACGGGTGTTCAAAGAATTCGCATAATTGCGTGCGCTGACCTTGTTTTGAAAATTGTTGTTGCAAAACCATGTGTGCCATGCTTCTACAGGACATCCGAGTTTGAAGTGGGCGCGTAGTGGTTCGGTTGCAGAGGATGGTTGGGTGGGTCGAACCTGGCTTGGTTGGGATGGTATGATTGTTTTTTTTCAAGTCAACTATGGGATGGGGTCGTACGTAAATTGCGTACCCCTCTGGGGCGATACTCTCAGCTTGGGGGTGGCGATCGATCCTTTTTCCCCTTTTGGTGAAAAAACTAAGCATTGTCAGCTACACCGTGCGACCTATGTGGTGCAATCTATGCAATGCAACCTGTGTGGTGCAAACTGTGCGGCGCCCGGGGTGGCGGCGACGGCGGCAACACGCACGGCGACCGCCAGCCAGGCGCAGAAGCAGCGGCAACGGAGGGCGGCGACGGGCGGCGACGGCAACAACAAAGACGCCAGACCGCCAGACAAACCCAGGTCCCTTCAAGCCAAAAGTAAAAAACACTGCGTACATGCGCTGTCTAGGGGAGTGCTACGATCTGTTCGAAGCCGACAGTGCGCATATGCCAGGACGATCGGGGCGGAGCAGTTATTTTGGAGCTGGGTCTGAATGGTACGCATGGGGTTCGTGTAAAGGTGGCGCAGAACTGAAGATTCAGTTCCAGACCCTTCGGCTGCTAGCCCTCCTGAATCAAACTTCTCTGCGATCCCTTTCGATGTTGTCGAATGCGTGTTTGTGTCTCCATCCCTCTGGTTTTATGTGTGCTGTTCTGTAGTATGTTGCTTCTCTCTCCCCGTGTCTCTCTCTCTCTCTCTCTCTTTCTCTGTGTTTGTTTCTCTCTCTCTCTCTCTCACTCCCTCTCTATATCAGAGTGAGGGGGCCGAACGGTCATTCATTGTCCTTGTGTGCGTGGCTGAATAAGGAATTCGTGGCGAGAGTTCTGCTTGTTGCGTTGTTGTTATTGTTGATGTTGTTGTTGTCGTCCCACCCGCGACCCACCCGCGACCCACCCCGCGACCCACCCGCGACCCACCCCGCGACCCACCCGGCGACCCACCCACGACCCAAGAGCGACCCACCCGCAACCCACCCCGCGACCCACCCGCAACCCACCCCGCGACCCACCCGCGACCCATCCCGCGACCCACCCACAAGGAAGGAAAATACACCCAGACCCGACAGCTGACGTTTATTAAACAGCCTTGGGCGTTGACTGAGCAGCCCTGCCCTGTTCGATTCATTCCTTGTGTGCGTTTACTCAACGGCTTCGCTTGTCGGGGTGATTCGTATGGGGTGGATTTTCTGCCCTCTACACCCGCGACCCAAGAGCGACCCACCCGCGACCCATTTGCGACATACCCCCGACCTACCCACATTGGTTTACCGAACAAAATCGGCGCCTGCGGCGGGCTCTTTGTATAATTTGTGAAACTTTGGTGCCTGCGGCGGACTTCTCCAGAGTCTCGCAAACTGCCGACGTCCCCACCGCCCCATCACTCTTATCCACATCTGCAGGGTGCTACGTAAGTGTAGACTCGGTACCACAGGCATGCTCGTGTAGGCCAACCGTTACTTTGATGTATCTCTCTCTCTTTCTTCCTCTCTCTTTTTGTTTCGCTCTCTCTCTCTCTGTCTCTGTGTCTTTGTTTCTCGCTCATCTTATCTGAATATGTCTATACGTCAATGTGCATGCACACATATGTATATAGAGAGAGAGATTTCTTTATAAACTTCTCAGTGTGTGGTTGTTTCTCTCTCTCTCTCTCTGTTTCTGTTTCTCTGATTCCGAACTTCGAGCCGGCAGTGTGTTCGCAGAAGTTGCAGAGGAACGATATTTGGGATGGCTCTGACGGGTGCGATTTGCTTAAGTTGGGTTGTTTCAGGGATCCTTCCGCATCAGGGGTAAATGGGACGATACAGTCAAGACGCTGCAACAAAGAACATTTCCAGTTTGGAAGTGGCTCGCTGTTTCTTAGGTCCCTTCATGGCTGTTTCTCCAGATCTCCTCTTGTACCCAAGCGTTTTGGGGGCAAAGAGGGGCGTCGCTCCATATCTAGCGTTGCATGAGTGTCCTCCGCAGACAAGTTGCGGGGCTGCTCGGACAGTCGCTCCAGTTGTCTCTGACGGTGGTTGAAGTAACAGATGTGGGTCATTACATTTGTGCCAGAGTTCAGAAGTCCACGGTTCCTTACCACATACCACACTAGTTGTTGGCTTATCTTTAGAGTGTAGCGTTTCAGCACGGGGTAAGTTTATGATGTGAACCGAGCGCCCACAAATGGAGCGCGTAGCATACAGCGAACGTTCAGCAAGCGCTCAACCAGTCTTTGGGCAGCGCTGAGCATCCAATCAGAAATTAGCCAGTTGACTCTTTGCAAGGCTCCTCCTCTGCGTCCTCCGCTTCTTACCCCTCCGTCTTCTCCTCCATGTGGCGCTTCAGCTCCCTTGGGTGATACCCAAGAAATCAGGCTGCAAGCGCGCTGCAAGCTCCGTGAAGCCAGCTTACCTTTCTGAGGCGCGCCACGGCCCGCGTGGCCCCGTTCTCGTGTCAGAGCGGCCACATCTGGTTTCGACACAGTGGACTTGGTGATCTAGTGGGTTTCGTGCCCGGTCCTCAGGACGGCCGCCCCTTCCCCCCACTCGGCCCTGAGGAGCCCAGCGGGGTGTCACAGACATCCCGCGTCCGAAGATAACGTGGCCCGCCAATCGTCATCCATCGTGGGAGCTCTGGTGTTCAGCATGCCGCTGCTGGATTAGCTCTCGATCGCTTTGCCCTGCCTTGCCCCCCCCCTCCCCCCATCCACGTGCAGCGTGGGACCGATTGTTGGGCAGTCTCGCGACGTTATTTAAAACGTGGCTTTGAGGCCCACGGGCGCGCCTTCTGAGCGGTGGCCCTCGGAGTTCTCGAGCTCCTCGCGCGCCTGGTGGCCCCGAGAGAGAGCATGGGGGACCCATGCCCCCTCGCGTCGTGAAAACCAGCAGCGAAATCCAGGGTCAGCTTCTGGCAATCCCCTGTGTTGGTGTTGATGCCAATTTCCAGACCCCGCAAAAACGGTGCGGTGACAGACCGTGCGGTGAGGTCCTGAAAGATTTCGAGGTCACCGCACGGTCTGGTCTGTCACTAGGCGGTCTTGGGACTTCAGAATTGGCGGGTGCTCAGGTCGTGCGGACACCACCCCCTCCTCCTCTCCTCCCCTCTGGCCCCATGAGGTCCAGGCCGCCCGGATGGGTCCAGAGTGGATGGATTTGGAGGATTACGCCGCATCGCGGGAGCATCGGCGATGCGGCGCGATCCTAAGCCCAATTCTCTCCATCACGACGCCACCGACGCGCCGCCGATGCAGACGTGGTGCGATCCTCCGGCGCCGTCCGCTCTGGGCCCGTCTGGGCTGCATCCGTCTTTTCTCCTCCGGTGCACCTGCTCGGCCCATCCGCCGTCTCCCCACTCCCATATCAGTACACTACTACACCATGCCGTCGATAGGCACTGGATGGGGCCGAAGGCTCCTATGCATCGGCCGTGAGGGAGGGTCCAAGCGCACCTCCACGGTTTGAAAATGTGAGTGGGCACACCGAGGAGGAAAAATTGGCCGGCCAGCGGGTGCCGCACGAGGAGCTCAGGTCTCCCGTCTGGCCCGCGGAGCCCTGGGGCACCCCACGAAGTTCAGGGTCGACGAAGGGATGTGCCGCTCCAGCTGTGCTAGCACGCCAGTTAAGCAATTGTTCGCATTACATTCAAGACGCTGGAATGAGGAACAGTTTGGGTTCGGAAGGGGCTCGATGTGCCTTAGGTTCCTCCAGTGCTGTTCCTCTTGCCCTCCTGGGGCACGGTGGCGCCTACAGGGCCAAGAAGGGGCTTCGTTCCTTATTTTGCGTTCCTTCTTTCAGCGGCCCGACTGTACTCTCCAGATCTCCAGATCGCCCCCCGCTCCCCCTGACCTCGCAGCCCGCACGCTCTCTGGCTCCCCCCGCCTCTCGTCTCCTACCGTCCAGCTGCTCATTCCATTCGCCTTCCTCCGTGCCCTCCCGCCTCCCCTCTCCAGCTCGCCCGCCCCAACCCGAGCCTCGCACCGCCCAGGACGAGTCGATGCTCGTGGATGCGAGGAGAGGCGGTTCAGAATCGAGCAATGTACAAGATAACCCGATGCGATGAAGGGCGTCTGCAACCAGGACAGTCAAGTGAGGGCGTCTGGAGGGAGGCCACCAGACGTTCTCGCCAGGCAGCGCCGTTACGCTTCTGACTCTGACTTTGAGCCATGACCCCACCGTGACGAAAACGATCAGACGCGCTCTCGCAAGACACGTGCTCCCTTCTGGGGGGACCAGCTCCGGCCAGAAATGCCTCTGCTCGAAGCCCCTGGTCTTGCACCTGTGGCCGCACGCCGGAGTCTGCGCCCCACCTGCCGCCAGACCTCTGAACCCTCGCAGCACGGGGCCCCCCGCTTGCGAGGTGCGCCCGCGTGCCCGCGTGCCCCCCCGGCCCTCGTTGCCGTCCCAGTCCTCTGCTGCTGCTTCAGCTCTGCTGCGCGCGGGTCACTTGAGACCGTCGCACGCACCAGGACAAGGGCGGTTTCGGAGCAGTCCAAGCTGGAGCCGAGGCGCACGAGAAACGAACATGCGCAACCCTCCCAGGGCGCAGAAGCCGTCCCGACACACTTCACCAAGTTTGCGATGCAGGTACCTCTGGGAGTGTTCGGTCCAGTGGCCCACATGTATCTGCAGCTCGTCCCGGCTATCTGGTTCGTTGTGAGGATCAAGCATTTGGGGTAAGTCCCAACGTGTCGGAACCTGGGTCATGAGCAGGAGCCTACGTCTTGCTCCCGCAAGGTTGACCAGCTCAGGGTCCTGTTTTTGGCGTTCTCTTACGCCCGCGTCGGATCGCACTCGTAGGCGAAAAACATCTACATATCCGCGGTCTCGCGGGAGGGCCTACTGGCCGCGACATCGCGGATACGGGACGTTTTTTCGCGGATGCCCCGCGCGGAACGTGTCCGTGCGACCGCGCATCCGCGGGGTCGCGCCTCGGAATTCAGACCGCGAGGGCGCGGATACGGGTACTTTTCGCCGCTTGTGAAGTATCTCGTGCTCATGCCAGCACCATTCGGCCGAAGCATCCAAGATGCCCACGGCAGACCAACTGGCACAGCGGCGTCGCTCCTTGTTCGGCGCAGCTTGCTCTCAGGCACCTCGGCCGCGTCATCTGCCCGCAGCCTGCCCCCATGCATGCCGGATTGGCCGCCAGCGCACATCTTCGCTCGGATAGTTTGTGGTTCCATCGCCGAACAAACGATAGGAGCTCTGCGGGCTTCATCCTCGGCGGCCAGCCATCGAAGCGATCTCGGGGGCAGCGCCATCAGCCATCAGGTGCCGATGTTTTCCGTGAGAATGAGTCTCTTCCAATTGCTAATCGTATTCTTTCTCATTCTCGCCCAGGCCAGCCACGATGAGCATCAGCATTTTGCTTGTGTCGCCACCTCCCCACTTTTGGTCTCTGTGCCTCTCCCCTTTCTCAGCATTGATGTGCCCTGCTGTGTTTCGCCACCTCACAGTGAAATTACGTCGCTCGCTTTCTCTCTCTCTCTCTCTCTCACTCTCTCCCCTCTCTCCGTCTCTCAAGTTCTGTCTTGTTTCTCCCCCCTGTGTCTCTCTCCTTCTCTTTCTGGGTGTGTCCTCAAGTACTCGTTCTGCCCTCGATCCCCCAGTCGTCCTGCTCTGACTCTACCTTTGATCTGCCAGTCGGTCGCACTGCCACTCGCGAAGCTCTCACATCCCCCCGCCACGCTCAGCAGTCTCCTGTAGCTCCACGTCAGGATCCCGTCGTCCATCCACACCTTCACCAGCCATGCCTCCACCACGCCTTCGAATGCCACCCGTCGAGGATACCTCGACAGGTCCCGTGCTGGGCAGTGGTTCAAAGATCGGTGTTCGAACCGAGCCGAGGTATCGTTGTTCGTTGCCGCTTCGGGTTCGCATCGTGAAGGGGTTCCCTCTCGCTCATCCATCCATACCTGAACCTCTGGCTCCTCTGTGTCCAGACCCGTGACGTCATCTTGATGTATATATATATACAGATATAACGTCACACCTCGAGGCCTCGACCCATCCCCTGGGACCGGTTTTCTATCCTGAGTTGGTTCTTTGACTCTCCCGCGGCCCGTCGAGGGCCCCCAGAGGCCGAACACGGCCTAACGCTTCCCGTCGGGATCTTGTCACGATGCCAGGGGGTCAGGGACCTCTGGCTCCTCTGTACAGCCGTGCACCGACCCGTGTGCTCTGGCCTTGCCTGCACTCCTGCGTCCACAGAGAGGCCCGGCGTGGTGCCGTCGGGTGGGCACACCTCGACGACGACGACGACGACGACGACGACGACGACTATGACGACGACGACGACGACACCTCCCTGGACACCGCGGCGCCGCGGCACCGTCTTACCACAACTTCGAGCGGCGGGGCCCCGCGCAAGCAGAGGGGGCCCCGGGTAGGGTGACGTGCAGCGGTGGGCTGTGCTCCATGCAGCCTGATGGCCACACGAGGCTGCAGCATGGCGAGTGCTGCGTGAGAGCCCCAAGATGGCGCTGCCGAGCCTGTCGGGGAGAGCTGGGCATCTCGATGCTGTGGTGGCACGTCGGCGGGACTGCCGCCAGCAGGGGGTGCACGCAGCAGACACGACACCGAGATCTGAGCTCTGGGTCCCTGCGGAAAACTTGCCACCTCATATTTCGAAGAAGAAACTGCGGCGCAAACACAAATGTGCGGAGCTCCGCGCGGATGTCTGGGACCATTTTGAATTTATAGAATCACATAGGCTATACCGATGTCGCCGTTTCGGGGGAGCGCGCTAGAAGGGGCCCCAAACCCTCGCGTTCCCCGCAAACGCCTCAGCGGACAGCGCCGACGTCGAGAACTCATGCCCGCACGCATCTGTAGCTCGTAGTGTCCAAGTGCGTCGTACCGTCTTATGTTATTGTAATTCGTGGCGCTCTGTTGTACACCATCTGCCGTGGATCGACAGCGCTTGGCATCTAGTGGCGACAGCTTAGTCTGGTTAACAGTGCGTTTACTTCCCTTGGCTGCGCCATCTCTCAGCATGCCGACCATGGAATGTGCGCTAGAATCGTGTATCTCTGCCATACCGTGCATCGAATGCATGGCTCTTTTATGTACACTATCATCTTCTAGTATGAAACACCCCCCCGCCAAGCTAGGTCTCAAACTTTATTGAATCTCAATACAGAATTCCACAAGCTGGCCAAGTTGCTTAACGTCTGGATCCGTGCCAGGATCTTCCGCCAGATCTTCTTCCAAAGTGTCCTCCAGACCTCCCCCTACATATCGGCCCAGATCTTCGCCCAGATGTTCCTCCAGATCTTCTTCCAAATCTCCACCCGATCTTCCACCAAATGTTCCTCCACATCTTTGCCCAGATCCCCCTGCAGATCTTCGCCCAGATCGTTCTCCAGATCTTTCCCAGATCTTCATCCAGGTGTTCCTCCAGATCTCCCGCCAGACCTTACTCAGAGATCTCGTCAGCTCTTTCTCCAGATCTTCAGCTAAATCTCCTGCCAGATCGTCGCCCAGATCTTCCTCCAGGTGTTCCCCAGATCTTCCTCCAGATCTCCCTTTCCATCTTCCACAAGATCTCCACCGGATCTTCTCCCAGATCGTCCCCCAGATTTTGCTCAGATACCTCGCCAGATCTCCTTGAAGAGCTTCCCCGAGATCTCCCCCCCAGATCTTCGCCCAGAGCTTCCTCCAGATCTTCCTCCGGATCTTCCTTCGAATATCCTGCAAATCTTGCGCCAAACTTTCCTGCATATCTTCGCCCAGATCTTTCTCTATATCTCAGGGCTGGGGCTGAACAGTGTTCGGCTTTTTTTCCCAACCAACCTGTGTTGTTGGGTCCTCGTTTTGAAGAGACGGTCCCCGCGTTCCTCCTTCCTCCTCCCTCCTCCCCTCCTCTCATCATCATCATCATCATCATCATCATCATCATCATCATCATCATCATCATCATCATCATCATCACCATCATCATCATCATCATCATCATCATCATCAGCATCTTCATCTTCATCTTCATCTTCATCTTCATCGTCATCGTCATCGTCATCGTCATCATCGTCATCATCGTCGTCATCATCATCATCATCATCATCAACATCAGCATCATCACCCCCCAGTACAGCGTTTCGTGGCCCCACGGGGAGCGCCACCGAAGGTCCCCGTGGCGCAGTCCGCATGCGTCCCCCCCACCCAGTACAGCGTGTCGTGGCCCCATAGGGGCTCCTCCGAAGGTCCCCATGGCGCCGTCCGCATGCGTCTCCCTCTCCCAGTACAGCGCTTCGTTGCCCCATATGGAGCTCCCCGTGGCGCAGTCCGCATGCGTCTCCCCCACCCATTACAGCGCTTCGTGGCCCCATAGGGGCTCCACCGAAGGTCCCCGTGGCGCAGTCCGCATGCGTCCCCCTCACCCAGTACAGCGTTTCGTGGCCCCATAGGGAGCCCCACCGAAGGCGACCGTGGCGCAGTCCGCATGCGTCTCCCCCACCCAGTACAGCGCTTCGTGGCCCCATAGGGAGCCCCACCGAAGGTCCCCGTGGCGCAGTCCGCATGCGGTTCCCCCACCCAGTACAGCGTGTCGTGGCCACATAGGGAGCTCCACCGAAGGTCCCCGTGACGCAGTCCGCATGCGTCTCCCCCACCCAATACACCTCCGTCGGAGGCCGTCGGAGTTCCGCGCCTCGCTCGCCCGTCGTCGCTCTGCCCAGCGGCAAGAGCTTTGCCCGCTTTCAGCCAGCCAGCTAGCTCTCTTTGCTCCGCGCAGCGGACGACCCGCGCGCGTCGCTGGGACCCCTCCGGGGCGACCTGCGCGCGTCGCGGGGACTCCGCGCTGCCCTGCGCCCGCGGCCTCTTTTGAGTGCGCGGGCAAAGGGGGAGTAAAATAAGGGGAGGAAGCGGGCGCGATCCTCGCGGGGGGGCGCGCCGACATTGGCGTCGCGGCGCGCGGGCGATGCCGTCGGGGAGTCCCAAGGAAGCCCCTTGCGGCGGCCACGCCCAGGCAGTCATTTTCAAAATATTGACATTCAAAAAAAATACACCATGCTTTGTCATACTCGCATTCATGCACGTAGACTCGCTCGCGCGCAGATTCAT